TCTGCACCCTTTTTCAACTTTCAGAGTTAATTTCTTGCAACTTTTCTATCTGCTCTTGAAGTAATTCCTTCACCTTCACAGGAACTGATTCAAGGTCATTTTTGCCAAATAGCTGTGTTTTAATGGTACGTACTGTTCTGTTAATAGCATCAATATTGCTAACTGCAATTCGCATATCAGGATCATTTGTTATTGACTTTCGTTTTCTAAATTTTCTTCCCGTGATACTAGGATCACTTTTTACTGCCTCAACCATTTTTTCCTTCATCTTCTTAGGTTGGGTACTTGTACGTAAATGACAATGTTCATGATCACCATTGAAACCAAAAATATAATTGGTAACTTTGTTGCCATCAACAACTTGTTCTTCTGACTTATAACAATATACCTTTGAGCTACAATCAATAATTTTAGACAACATATTATTACAAACATTGCAAACCCTATGCTTGTTTGTAAAGTGAGGAAATGATTTGGCAAATGGATCGTTTGTTTTTATGGTACTAAGGTTGGAGCTTACATTTTCAGAACAAACTTCACACTTTTTAAATCCTTGACAAGAACCCATACGATATTGATTGTATACAACACCATTGATTGTTACTGAAAATGGTTTTAATTTTTGGAAACCATTAAAATGGGTTCCAAAATTCAAGTCTTCTCTTAAAGATGGGACCGTTCCTGATAGACAAGTTACATGATAAAACATCTTGTCCTCTGGCATTCTGTTAATAAACTTAATGTCTTCAACTGTTGTAACGTTGTCCTTATTTGCAAACAACCATTGCCCTGGGGAGAATCTTGGAGCCATTTTTTTTGTGCAGAAATTGATAAAATAAGGCGGGAAAAAAATCTTTTGTAAACAATCAGTTTAAGGTTTGCAAAAAAAACTTAACATTTAGACGGGGATCGAACTTGCTCCAATACCATGTGTTGCACAATGTCTGTCACCTGAACTACCAATGATTACACATTTAGGTGAATTTTTATTGCATAGTTGGATGGTTGAAATTAAGATAATTAAGGTCAAAAGATTCGCGCGAGGATTGTTGTGAGTTCGATCAAGCTCGCGTGGTTCACAAGTTTTCACTCGAGGTTTGACAGCTACCCGTGTCGATATCCTCGTACTTCCTAGGTGTCCTATTGCGATGATTCATTGGTTTTATTATACGATGTTATAATATTGAGATTGATTTTGTAGAGAATGATTAGTTAGATTTAGAACAGAAAATGTTGTAAAGCATTAGTAGTTTAGTTTAATGATTGTTTGCAGGCCTGTATGCAATCTTTCCTCGCATTAGTGGACGTTTCTCCTCAACCAAATATTTGGAGAATGAAACACAATGACCTTGTTTTACATGATGTTCAAAATCATTGTCACTAATTACTTCATAAACATTTTCTTTACAAACAGCACAAAACGAAACTCCTTTCGAAACATGTCTAAAAGCAGTAGACTTCTTCAATGGACATTCATATTCCCAATCACAATTCTCAATAAATTGTCTGTCCTTATTCTTTCTAAATTTTGATCCTAAAGGTCCAGATTCTTCTTTAATTATTTTCGAAAGTGGTAATTCTTGTGGAAATTTGTTTTGTAAATGGATGACTCTCCTTCTCATGACATGCATCCAATTCTTGACATTTAAACTTGCCGAATAATTTGGAAAGTAATAAAGTACAAGTGGTTTCCACAAAAGTGTCTGAGCAAGTGCAGTTTCGTTTTCTTTATACTGATCTTTGACCGATACAATCCTACTTTCAAGGTCAAGTTGCAACAATTCTTGTTTTCTCTTTGCAATGGCCTCCACTTTTTCAACAGTCAAATCAAAAATCATTTCCAATAAATATTCATCACTTCTCGCAAAAGAATTCAAATCTCCAATTGGTAAATATTGTGCAATTATTAAAATTAATTCCGTGCTGAGAGTTTCTTTAAAGATGTTGTGTTTTGTGGAGGGAAGAGAGGACAAGTCATCATCGGCTTCATTATTCGAAACTCGAGAGAAGATCTTTTTGAACATTTTTTTAGTTGGAGATGTTTGTATGACTAGTGTTTGTCTTCAGCCATTTCATTGTTCACAACAAGTTCGCGAAAGAAAAAGGAAGAAGTTCATGAGCTCGATACAGTCTATGAAGGAAAGAATATAATTAAGGACAATGAAAGAGTTCATCACTACCTTGGTAAACATCTATTGAAAAGACTCCTCTAAACTTACAGTTTGTTATCAGCACACAAGTATCATTCCCCTTGTTAGCTTATTTCAAATAATTAAATTTTCAAAAAAATTAAGTCCACACCCAACATACTCAAAATGTATTTGTGTGGTCGTTTGCCAGTTATTAGTGATTTCTTTGAGGCGTGTTTTGCTGAAGGAACAAAAACATCTTCCCAAGATAGTGGGTCCCAATTTTTCAACACTGAAGAAGGT